TGAAACAGGACGAAAATGTTGTCAAAAGCGGATTTTATAAAAATATTTGTGGCCAACAAAATTTTTGATTACTATTTCAGAAGCAGCTATATTATGTAGTCAGCTGTAAAAATTGGTAGCAATTGCTTTTAATATAAATAATTACTCCAATTCTTGCGACAGTCACCTATTCGAACATCTTATGGGTTTTAAGGGGTATGAGTTCCCTTAAAATTAGAATGGGAGACTGATAAACGTTCAGTGATGAGCTGCTAGCATGTAGACAACACCGATTAGTATGTAAACAAAACCAGAAATCCGCATATGGCAGAGGCCATGATAAATCGTGACCTTTTATAGCTTCATTTTCATTGCATGGGAGTTACGAGAGGGGGCTTACACCATTACCTAGCCTCATTGGTTAATGTCCAGGTCATTAACTGTAATTTATTAAACGGTTTTGAATTTTCACTTTAAACAATTGAATAACGATGTAAAGTTGCGCGCTTCCAACCTGCACGCAACAAAGTGCTGACTGCTGAAATAGACCAAAGTCTTGAGAAGGGTATAAATCCCTTTTTATTCAACTTTAGAAATTGCAAATGCGTGCTCTTGACGCTCACAAACTACGCCGGCCCGGCGGTAAAATAAAAATAAGAAACTAAGAAAGAATAGTAACAAGTGACTAACTACGAGGCTCCCTAAACGGAACTAACCTCACCGCGTTCTAAAATACCGCTGATAGTTCAGCAACTTCTGAATATTACGTTGAAAGATTTACAAACTGCCGAGGCAAGCACACAGGCCGAAACGCGTGGTTCAATTTCTAACTGGCCACCTCCACGCTCGTGAAGTAAGAAAGCACACTTTCGAACTCGTTTCCTTTCTATTTAACTCAGAATACTTCCGCTGATAATTTGATTCCTTGCGCGTTCTACTAAAATTTACATACTCTGGCATTGGCAATTCCAGGGGAAAGTAAGGCTTGACAGGAAAGATAGTTTAAACTTAAAATAAATGTTAGTTAAAATAAATATAAACCCTACATTGAACAAAAAGAATTGCTTATAAAATGTATGTAAGCAAAATACGGAAACGGATGAAATGAGTTTTCTATTTTCACATCCCCCTACACACATCGCAGCACTTTTCTGTCTCACGCTTTTATAATATGTGCAGAATATACATTCGATTTTTGATTAAAATTTATTAGCTGAAAAATGATTTGTTCAATTAAAATAATAACAATAAGGACATTTCTCTTTTATCTCCAACACGAGAGACTGTGTACTGTAAATTCTAAGGATATGCTGTTTCACTGTTTTTAAATATTTTGATATTGTTGTTGCATTGAATTTTATGTGTTTTAAGTGCGAAAAGCATGATATTTAGTCAATAAACGTTAGAAAACGCCCTTTTTATAGGTAATATAAAATCTGAAAGCTTTCAGATTTTTTTAAAAAAAATTTATAATTATTTTTATGTGCTATAATTATGTATGCTAGTATAGTAATTTATTTAAAAGTATTCTATTGCATACATAGTGAGTATATTAGAATTATGCTTAAATATTTTCTATAAACGGTGACGTTCATTCTATTTTAGTCAATTACTTCGTATAGCTCAAAAATATAGTTCAATTTCGAAGTTGATTGAGTTGAGAAGATTAATCCAGCGTAGCGTAAAATAGATGGATGCAAAAGAAATACATAGAACATATTCATAACTGACCCAGTAATGGTATCTTTTTGAAATGGGGCAAACAAGAGTTTGTCAAACGAATTGCGTATAACTTTTCTACCAATTTCCAAAATCCTGTGTTAACGTGCCTTCAACGTACCTGCTTTCCGAAACAGGAAAAAAGACAGAAAAACTTTCTTCCGCAGCCGGAAAAAGGGGTCGAAGGTCCTAGGGACCCCCATACCTTGCATCCGCTCCACTCAAAGGAACGAAGGGGAGAAAATGGCTGCACAACATCCGCCGATTTCGGAGGTCCCACGGGAACTAAGAATTCCTTCATACAAAGTATAATTTCGGGATCCAACGCAGGATATGGGGCTCGTTTAAATGGGCGTGGTGTCCATATTTGCCATTGGTGGAAGACGATAGGTTGCCTGTCAAGCACGTCTTTTGATATTTACAGCAAAGGATTTTGCGTGGGCGCAGGTGCTTGCAGGGCCCGTTAGGGTTGGACCATTCAGGACTGGGATGACATAATGATAAAAATGGAAACATGGTGCGTTTATAGCATAGCTGTCTACAGTCTGCTTCCGTTCATGAAATGAAAACTTTAATATTCTTAAAAACTGCTTTAAGAGACAAAAAATTCTTTTTTTCCTTTAAATAAATTTTTCTAAAATTTTAATCTTTATTTATAAATTTCAGATCTAAATTGATAGTCATAATTTTTCAAGTAGCCATAACTTAATATTTTTAGCACTAAATGAGTAAAAGGACAAGTAATAATTTGATCAACATGTTATTTTAAATCTAATTAATTTCCTGGAAAAAAAAGAAAAAAAAACAAAGGAAGAAAGCGAAGGAAAAAGAAAAATATACGTTGAATTTCATTTTAATTCGAATACGCCTTCTCTCCCCTTCTTGAGACGTTAACTTAATTTTTAGCTTCCTCCTTTGTTTTAAGGGTCTTACCATATTTTAAAATTTTATATAAAAAATGGAATTATTTAATAAAGAAAGCAAAATACAAATTTTATCGATATTATTAGCATGAGAGACAAAAATTTGAAGTAATTAATCATACTCTGAGTTTTGAGAGTTGGGTAGCTTAAGACAACAAAAATATTCGAAACTGAATAAATTGCATTAAATTATTTTAATTAAACAGTTCTTAAAAGCTGAAGTGACTTGATATACAGTAAGACCCCACTTAACGCAGGGGATACGTTCCATCAAAGTAGAGCGTAATGCGAAACAGCGCTAAACGAGGCTATCTTTACATGTAAATATTGGGGTTAGGGGAAGATGGCTAGGAAATTGGTTAGGTATTAAATTTAAAAAGTATGTTTTTTTAATAAAAATAAAACCAAACATTTATTTCTTAAAGCCCAAATTAATACCACATTATTATTTCTTGCAAAAATAAAAACAAAATATAAATAACAAAACGAATATTCTTAAAAAAAACAAATAAAATTCTCAGTCATATTTTAGTTAGCCTTCCGCGTTTTCAGTGTTCTGCCTTTTTGTGACAAAAGCATCTAATGTTGTTTGCCTTTTTCTTTTGCGTTGTTCTCTTAAAAGTTCTTCATAAACGGATAGAGCATCTCTAACACCACGCCTTACTTTTGAGCTCCTGTCAAAATTCGGATCCTTTTCAATGAATTGATCCATTATTTCATTTATGGTAGACAAACTCCTTTTCACAAACGCCGTCGAAAGTTCTTTTTGCTCTTCTTCTGAATCACTGCTGTCAACATTTTTGTTTTCTTCTTGTTCAGTTAATTCCTTGAGCTCATCATTAGAAAGACTAGCCGCTGCTTCTTGAATTATTTCTTCGACATCTTCCACATTTACCCCTTCAAAATATGTCTGTACAATACCGCACCAAACGAGAAATACAAGTACACTCTTTCGGATATGTATTTGAAACCTATCGCTGCATAATATTTCGGGGAATCCCCGTATGCTGCGAGCGATTTCGTGGAATCCCCGGGTTGAAATAAAAGAGCGCTAAACCGAAACAGCGTTAAGCGGGGTCTTACTGTATTTAATATTTCCTCTAAATTTTTATAAAAATCGATATTCTGAAGAATCTTTACAGAAATAAATGATGTTCATTCTTAACTAAAAGAACTTCAAAGATTAATTAAAAATAAGATTCGTTCGATCCATAAAATCCCCCCCCCCGCAGAGTTGCCAACTCTCCCGATTTAGGCGGGAGACTCCCGATTTTCGACCGTTCTCCCGCCAACCCGATTTATAATATACTCTCTCGACTTTTTCTTATTCTTAAAATTTCTCACGATTTTTATGGAACTTGGCTTAATACTTTGTTATATGAATAAAAAATTTTTGAACAGATTTCCTGTGTTACTTCATTTAGTCATGGAACATGATGATATTGATGTTGCCACTGATAATATTGCAGTCGTAATTTTGCAGTTTACAATTAGAAAACTTAGATGAAGTTATAAAATCAGCTAGGATTGATACCTAGTGGAGTTTAATTGGAAAACTGAAAGGTGCTGATGGAATTTTAAAACATATTGAACTGTCTAGAATTATGTTGGCCATCTTGACAGTTCCCCATAGTAATGTAGAGTGTAAGAGGATTTTCAGTGTTTTTGCGAAAACGAGGACTAAATTTAGGTCTAATATTAGTGATAGCACATTAGAAAAACTTTTATTAGCGAAATCAGGCCGGCTTGGCAATTGCTATGAACAAAATTATGAAGTTTCTTTCTTAACGAAAGCAAAATCTGCCACTGTTCATAACATTTGTACAAAAAACTGATTAAAGTGTCTTTTTTTTTTTTTTTTTTTTTTTTTTTTTTTTTTTTTTTTTTTAACGATGCAAGTAATAAAAATGTTTTTCATATGTAAGGTATTTTTGTGTTGCTTGCATTTAAGAATTAGTAACTATTTAAAGTTAATTCATTATTAAAAACTATATTTTTATCATTTAAAAAGTCTTTTTAACATTGTGAAAAATCTCCTGATTTCTTAAAAAATCTCCTGATGTCTTAAAAACATCTGATTTTTTAGTGCCATAGGTTGGCAAGTATTTGATAGCTATTTATTTCAAAAAGCTGTTATATCTGTATCTGAATGAATGGGTTCTTCTTGATTTCGTTTGCAAAATTTTATGCAAATTTCCAAATTTATTCCGACTTAGTTTGCTATAGATATTCTATGGAATGCCGGCGTTTCCTACTTTGCCGATAACGTCTATATTTAGAAAAATATTAAGAAAAATGCTATCATAAAAATATTTTATGCTGATACGTAACGGGGATCTTAACAATACATAGTCTAATATCGCTTCTTTGCTTTTTTAGTGTCTTCAATATGCTACTTTCCTATCGAATTTCAAGGCACATTCCTCACGCAGACGCAATCCCTAGCAGCTTTTGGGGGCCACACGGTTACCTACAGTGAAATTACAGTAGAGGTAGATTCCATACCACCTTGGGGAAGGTGTCATAGGCGACGAGGAAATAATGTGATTCTCAAAGACGAGTAAGTATTGCTTTCATTTCAGCACTACCTGAAGAAAAACCCTGTTGTAAATATATTAGTGTTAAAACTAAAGTTTCATTACGTGCATTGCTACAAAAGTGCATAATAAAGGCATTCTTATACTGTAAAAGCCCCTCAATAATTCTTAAATTCTTAAACTCTCAACCCCAAATGGTATGCAGACGGCTGGTTGTCAATAAAAATGCCACACGGATTTTTCAAATTTACATTTTATTTTATATTTAATTTCGTATTAAGAAATATAATGAACATTTCAATCCGGTTAACTGCAAAATGAGCATAATATTTGAAAAGTTTTCGAGCTGTTCGTAATTTTAAAATAGGTACTGATTGGACTGTCATGTAAAACAGAATTAGAAGCCTTCAAAATCTTTCTTAAATTTTGCCAGTTTACTTTTGAGTTAATTAGTAACAAAAATTAAATGGTAGAATTAAGTGAAGGTCGAATTCCAGTGTTAAGGAATTCTAAAGAATAAGGAATAGTTCGAAGAGGCTGGGGGAAAAAATAAATATCATCTAAAATTCAGCTCTTATAAAAGAGTTGCTTGCGACTAATTTATGGACAAGAGATACTTTCACGAAGCCCGTGATAAGCATAACAGTAGGCTATCTTGGTTTGGTTTATTTGATTATGGTAAAGCACTCGAGGACTATCTGTGTAAGAGGACGGATGTCTTCGTGGAGAAATTTCTAAGGGAAACTGGCTCGTAGACATGTTAGGGATATGGAAAATTCTGAAAACGCCTAAGCAGCCAGCCCGTTCGCTGGGATTTGAATCTCGGACTGACCTACCAGTGTTCAGTGACTTTACCGCTCGGCAGCTCGTGGGCGTGTTACCCTAAAAAAGGGGCTTTCATTAGTTTGTACAGGAACGAAGCAAATGGAAATAGGTACTTACGTATTAACGCAACCAGGCCAAAATTTGCATAAACTGCGAAATTTGGCGACCCTACTTACGGCAACCCTACGTGTTATACGTAGTTTTGTAAAAAGAGCATGTTGAGATTCACAAAATTTTCCTGCATTTTCGTGCAAATTTTTGTAATTTATGAGAAAATAGCAGTGTACATGGATAAAGTCAAGAGTGTGCGCAATGCCATTTTTGTGCAATTCTGGGATTTTTTTTAAGTAAAAATAAGTCGACGTGTACATGGTTATGGCGAATACGGTTTTCAATCAGTTCTAAAAGCAATAACCAAAAGATTTCCGCCGAAAAAATAATTCTGCAACTTATTGAAATTCGAAACCGGAAGGGTTTAATTGCTATTTTATATTTTAAAACAAAATAATATAAAAAACTGTATTAAAAATTATCTGTAATTAATAAATGTATATTTTCTTTCTATTCATACTTTTTTACTCAAACTTACAAATAGCGCCAACCTGGTTGCGATAATACGTAAGTACCTGGAAATATTCCATTAACTTCTTTGCATTAGATACTATAGAAGGAGGAATTTCAGGTTGCTTTAATAATGATGCCCTGTCATAAAATGCTGGTTCCTCTGTGCAAGTCTGCCATTGTGTCAAAGAAGCCTCCATAGATATTTGTACTCTTATTGGATATGCTTTCTAACTTGGAAAAAAAATTAATTAATATATAAATGCGAGCTTGATTATGCAAGTAAAATTTTCATTCGTTTTGCTAATCAGAATTACAAACTGAAATTCTTCTTGCATACCTACTTCTTGTAAGTTGAAAGCTGATCATCATAAAGTTGAAAGGTATTTTTATATGAGAGCCTCCTTTGGAAGGTTTCTGTTTTTTTTTTAACTATGGCTGACGTGAGTAAAGGTACTGGCACTTTTACAATGAAGCATCATCACGAAGCTGTCTCAGATATTCCAGTAGAAGTACCAGTCAAGTGACCACATCTAGTGAACAAACAAGACTCATTATGTCAAACGCTTCTTTCCCTTATTCTGTTAATTCAGGGTCCACCAGCGGCCGAGCGGTAAAGTCGCTGAACACTGGTAGTTCGGTCCGAGGTTCGAATCCCGCGAACGGGCTGGCTGCATGGGCGTTTTCGTGGTTTTCCCCATGTGTAACGTGTATACGAGCCAGTTCCCCTTAGAAAGTCCTCCACGAAGGCATCCCTCCTCTTAGGCAGATAGCCCTAGTGTGCTTTGCCATAATTAAATACACCACACCACCACATCTGTTAATTCAGACCTAAGTAAGTCTATTTAGCTATTTTTACTGTTCGTAACGAATATATCTCAGCTATCGACATAAAAATACACATCTGTGATGATTTACTTGCATTAACCTACCACATTCTTAGAAATCGGCGTTATATGTTAATGATCATGGCACTGAAGTGTATATAAAAAATAAGTTCAATTTTATTCTTGTTTTGTTTTTGTGCACTCAAAAACAATCGCAGAGGTAGCAAACGATCCGAAAAGACAATCCCGGTAAAAGAGACAATAAAAATAATAATATAATTCGATGCTATAATAATCATAAGAATGTTATTTAATTCCAATTCAAATAGACTTCCGCGTATTCTACATTCACAGTTCCTTATCTATTGGCCAACCTTGATGACTTCTTGATTTTAGATCCAGACTTGCCATGCGTTTGCCTGGTTATCCAAATACAGAAGTAGCCTATTTCTTCTTCGTTAGTAGCCAAGGACGAATGAGGTGGTCTGACAACCACTATCATCCTCTACGAAGGATAAAGGTTAAATTCTCGTATTAAACTAGTAGAATTCTTTTGTCATAGAATTAATTTAAGTTTAACTGGAATGTGTAATAGACTACTATGGCTTCAGATAGTAAAGATAAAGTGCTGGAACAACCATTCTTTGAATCGGAAAGAAAGCCAATAGCTTAGATAGTTTTAAGGTCATCAGAACAATTATGTTGGTTTATAAATATCCGTAGCTGGTATTATTCAGTCTGTTATATTTAATTGAATTTATCCGATTGAGTAACCTACCCGCATTATTTTTCAGCAATATTATGTGATCTTGCTTTTGATACAGAGGTGATTATTCTATTCTTTAATTTTCAAATTAAGGTAGGTATAATATAGTATATTTACGGTTAACGGAAAACAAATAAATAGCTGAATATGTTTCAGATACATAGAATTTTAATGAAACTATTTCAAGGGCAATTAAGGATTTCAAGTATAAGACGATTTCGTATTTCCTTAAAATGTACTATGGAAATCCTAAGCATCATGTATAGGCAGGTGTTGGTGTTGGTGTATTTAATTATGGCAAAGCACACTAGGGCTATCTGCCTAACGGGAGGGATGCCTTCGTGAAGGACGTTCTAAGGGAAGCTGGCTCGTATACACGTTACACATGGGGAAAACCACGAAAACACCCATGCAGCCAGCCCGTTTGCGGGATTCGAACCTCGGGCCGAACTACCAGTGTTCAGCGACTCGGCCACTGGTGGGCTGTATAGACAGGCTAATAATTGAAAAACACTATAAGATATTTTTCCCGTCTTCTTAGCATGCTTTTGTGGTGTAATGGTCAGCACGCTCGGTGCGTATCGAGAAGTCGATGGTTCGAGTCCCGGCCAGTACAGTGCTCATTTTTCATCTTTCCTCTTTCAAAAAATACCTAATGTCTCTACAGTACATTAAAATAATTTTTAATTTTTTCCTCTAATAGAGATAATTATCACTTATTCTTTAAATAATTAAGATAATATATCACTTATTTCTAGTTTTACGAAAAAAAAATCATATTTACTTAGCAACTTAGTGAGATACGTACAGATAATTTAATTTATTGCAATAAATTAAGTTTATATATGACGGGCCATCTTAAAGGAAAACTTATACTATCTTCTACCGTAAACTACCTACAAACATCCAGGCCCGATTACGTATAAAGCTGACTTTTATTGAGACTGGTACAATATAAATTATTGCATTTTTCTTCTAAATAAGATGTTTAACAAAAGGAGCAACTCAAAACACTGTCAGTTTTTAGTTTTAATATCGAAAGCAAAAATATTTTAATTAAGATATTTAAAGTATGATGATAGCTTGATTTAACATTGCTTTGATTAGTAATTAAACAATTAATGAAAACATATAATTTTATACTAGATTTACAATTCATACATTCAGTCTGCTACAGACGGATATCTGAAAGATAAATGAGAAGAAAAAGGGCTCCCCTAAAGTAATTTTTAATTCAGACTTTGTGCTGATATTCCCGTGTAAATCTTTATATTACTCAAAACACATACATTTGCTTAGAATAATCAGACCAGAAGAAAACTGTTTCATTGCAAATTCCTAAAAATTAAATGTACTAAAGTAAGTTTTCGTAAATTAGAGGAAATATTCGATAAAAGAAAATCATTTGTAAGATAAAGCCCACCAACGGCTGAGCGGTAGAGTCGCTGAACACTGGTAACTCGGTCCGAGGTTCGAATCCCACGAACGGGCTGGCTGCGTGGGCGTTTTCGCGGTTTTCCCCACGTGTAACGTGTCTACGAGCCAGTTTCCCTTACAAAGTTCTCCACGAAGGTATCCCTCCCTTTAGGCAGATAGTCCTCAAGGCTTTGCCATATAGTCACATGCACACATACATTTGTAAGATAAATTTTTAATATATATTTAATTATCATTTACAATATCATCAAAAGTGATTTTAATTTAAGTTATTATTTGGATAAGAACTTTTTTTGTTATTTACGTCTTATCGCTCGAGTGGCCAAGTAGCGCGATTTAGCGCCCAATTATGGATGACCGTGTGTTTTAGAATTACGCAGTAAGGATTGGTGATGGGCGACCATTGGCGTAAACTCCGCCTACGGTATAATAGATAAGTATCTTTTTTATTTGACTTATCAGTGTAAACATTTACACTTGAGAAATTTACTGATAATATCTATTGTAAATATTCATGCGGAAGATGGGGGACAGGCGGCGCAATGTTAAGGAATCTACATTTCATAAGCTGCAAAAGCTGTGAAAAATTCTGCAGAAATTTGAGTATATTTAAGCATTATTTTATTTTACAAGTTCTTTTGCTTTGTCCTTCATAGCAAAGTATGTTGAATTTTTAAAAGAACACCTTTATACAGTTGGATAACTAAAGGACTAAACTAAAGGATATTTCCCATTTTCTCAAACTAATCTAAGGCTTTCTGAATTCGCTATGTTAAATCCATCTCATTTCAGTTCTAAGTATAATGGCATTTACAAAATTCTCTTAACTTGAATTTAAAAATTTTTCCATCATGCCCTTTTCTTAAATGCATTTTAAATATCAAATACACTAAAATCAGGCAAATTATTGTAAATAGTGATCATGTAAACATCTTTTTTTTTTCTTTTTGTCATGTAATTAATGCTGTGTTTTCGTTTCAGAACGGGTGGCGAAGATTGCATAAGGTGTTTTCATATCACACTAAAATCTATAAATGTCATACAAATACATACAGAAGGTAAGACAATTTATTTGCGTGTGTCTGTATTTGAATGCAATATCGTAGATAAGCGCATTGTTTGCACACCCTATTGCCTTTTTATGCATATCAATAAATTATTACCTTAGTAATCTAAAAAGAAGTATAATCTAGTTTTTTTCAGATTCTAACTTTATCCATTAATTGACATAAATTTTCTTATTTGCACACTAAATCATCTGATCATAAGACGGAAATTTTTTAAATAATAAAAATACTTAATTGTGCATTTATATGGTATGTAAATTAAAAAAATTAAAGGAAAAAAATCTGAAAGCATTCAGATTTTATATTACGCCCAAAGGGGCGTTTTCTTCATTCACACATACATACACGTTTCGAAAGTGTTCGGACTAACGCCCCTTTGGGCTAAAAATATTTAAAAATAGCATATCTTTAAAATTTCCGATAGACAGCTTCGCGCGCTGGAGATAAAAATACTTTATTCCGAACAGTGTGTTGCCACTGCTAGATTTGAAATCGTTGAGTTTCTTAATCAAAAATTCGTTAAAGTTAAAAAAAAAAATATGAAACAGATAATAAAACAAATTCGAAATTCAAGATTCCGGCTTTCAGGCGCCGGGTGGAGGACTACGTTATTCAAAATTTGATTTCACAATGAGAGAAAAATACATATATTCATGCAGATTCTTCATTATTTATTTCTTTAAATACAAGGCGATAGCCATTTACAATGCCATTTCGAGACTAATGGTAGTCGTTCTGGGATAACGCCCCTTTGGGCTAAAAAGGTCGTGACTTAGGGGTTGGCAATATTTTCCATGTATAGGCACTACGGAACTAGCAACTGTTACAGTTCATTCCCAGAAAAGAATGAAAAGTTATCATATCTCTGTCATCCTGTCACATCAAGATAGATACCAAGAATACGGGTAAAAAATTTTACCTTGTCGAAAGATCTTTCTTCTTTTAATCCAGAAGAGACCGGGGTTATTTTTATTGACTGAAAACAATTTAAGGTACTTCTAGAATAATAGCATATTTCTAATTTACTACACTCATGACTAACTAATTACATACAACACACAGAAGAGAAGTTACCGATTACATTTTTCATTACACCGGACATAACTAGTTCTATAAAAGTTCTGGTTTCGAGCACGTGATATGAATCATTTGGCGAGAGTTTCAACATAGTGAGTTATAGACAATCAACTGGTAAAAGTTATAGAATAACATTTCCTGCATTGAAGGTTATAATTATTTTTACGTGGCTTCACGTAGGGAAGAAAATAATATATGCTTTCTGGTGATAAAATTTCACGTTGGTTCAAAATTGCCCATTTTTTAAATCTAAATATATTTTTTATGTCTTTGCAAAACGAAAGTTCTTTTTTTATTTAAGTCGCCGATTTTTTACGATAGTGTACCTGAGTATAGAAACAAATTTAAAATTCAGAAATAAAAAAAACTGTCATATTTTATGTACATTGTTACTAATTCGTTACAATCGAATTCGCTTTAATACTTGCACTTAAAATAGTTAACTTGAAAGGAAAAAGAATTAAAACAACAATATATATATATATAACTTTGTGTTTATGCTCGCTTTGTTTTCTTGAGTATCCTAAACAGGTAAGAGAAGCTTAATCCTTGAGAATGGAAATTTGTTTTGCTGTTAATAAGGGACTTGCGTTTTATTATAAATATTACCTTAATGCAATTTTTGATTACCACAACTTTTCCTTTTTCTGTAGGGCTTGCAAGGTGCTATACCAATGAAGAAGCTGCTAGAGCCACGTGTCCGGATGAAAGAGCAGTTGTGGAGAGGAGGTTTAAAGAAATTTTGCTCTTTCGTAAGTAAAATATTTTGAGATTTCCACATAACCTTCTGAGGTTTTTTAAAGATTAAAAAACAATTTTCTGTTTATGATTTAATATTTAGCATTTCAAAAAATCTTTCATAATAACGCAATAAAATGCGTGGACGAACTCCTACACTTGAGAAAAAGGAAAGAGGCCAATTATTCAGCAAAATATGTTGGCGGAGATTGAACTTCCACTCAGTCAAAATGTATACTCACAATGTGAATCCTTCTAATACGTATAATAATAATCGTCTAATCCTTCTAATACGCATAATAATAATCGTCTAATCCTTCTAATACGCATGTATGTACAAATGTTCCCCACCATCTGATGGCAACATTTCTCAAGGAAAAGTTTTCAAGTACAGAACGGGGAAGAGATTTTAGGGGAAAATATCAAGTTTTCCCTAAAAATTCACCTGTTTTGCAAAGATTTATAAACAATCTGCATGTGAATCTCCCGCTGTGTGACCATGTAGAAATAGTAAGGGTTTTTTTTCTCTTTCCCCCCGAAGCCGAAACCAGAATGAATGAACTATGCCTCGTCGGGATATGAACCCCAAAATTTCCGAATGCGAACGACACAGGGCTCGCTCGCAGGGTGGATGATTATCTTCAGCAGCAAAGAATTCAGCGCATGTAGAATCAGCTGAATCCTACCGAGCATGTTTGGGATGGCTTTAGGGATATACATTGCTCCTCTTAATCCCTTTTCTGACTATTGCCACGCTTGCGACTGCCTTGCAAGAGCAGTGGCTCTCATTTCCTATGGAACTGATAGACCGCATAATTGACAGAATCACTTATCGCTATATGTGCTGTATTGCTTCTAGGAAAGATTATACTCCATGTTATTTTATACCTTACTATGTGTTGCATACTGTCGGTCAGTTTCATTAAATTCTACATATAACTTTTTGCGTAATTGTCATTTTTGTGATTTTTCTTTAATTAAAGATAACTAGTGTGTATGGAAAATGCGATGATTTATATACCATGCATTTCAGCATATATAATGCTTCGAAAAGAACCGTTGTAGTATACTGAGGAGTTTAGTTGCATGATTATTCAAAACATTCCAAGAAAAAAAAAGTATTTAGTGTTCTTTCCGTTCCAGATTTTAAGAATCATTGCATACTGAAAAGTCTTCTTGAGAAATTTTTGAGTCACTTAATTACAAACATTCAAATTATATAACTTTTCTCATAATTACAAACATTCAAATTATATAACTTTTCTCATAATTACAAACATTCAAATTATATAACCTTTCTCAGAATTACAAACATTCAAATTATATAACTTTTCTCATAATTACAAACATTCAAATTATATAACTTTTCTCATAATTACAAACATTCAACTTATATAACTTTTCTTAGGCAAGCACGATGCTGGGACAATGATGACGATAGAGGAACTCTTCTGTCCCATCATCGGACGTTTCAGATTCACGTACTCCGCAAACCGTGGTGAATTCCAGTGTGATCAACCTTTCTCCGAGCTTAGCAACTGTCCCAACGGAAATGGACTCAACGTCAGGTTCCGCCAGTGTTCCTTCCCAGAAATGAGTAAGTATACCACTCCTTCCTTATCGATCTCATAAAAATTTACTGAAGTTATATTTCACGTATTTAAGGTATTTTCTTAAATATTGCTGTTTTTATGAAACATTATACTATTATACTGATTTAGTTGTTAGTTTGTTCCACCTCACAAAGAGAAAGCTGTTGTTAAACTTTTCTTCCTACGTACTAAGAAACGCGATCGAGGCCACTTTTTAAAATCGGAAGTATTCCACGAATTATTCTTTAGAAAATGCAGTTCTTGTTTTTAATCTTTCAGCCATATCATTTCTTTGTCTTGGCGACTGGGAAGGAGCAAACGGTGACCGGTACATCACCTTGATGGATCTCAGAGACGAACCAGAAGCACGACCCAAGTACAGATGTGGCGTAAGTAAATTGATAATGTATCAATTAATTTATATTGAAATAAAACTGCGTTCTCTAGTAATTTTGTATCCCCCTCTTGGTAAAGATGCTAGAGATGGTCATTATGTTTTTCATCTTGTGAAAAAAAGATCTTTCTAATACTGTTGTTGTTCAAAATGACCGGCCATTTTCAACTTAATGCATTTGGCGAGAACGACCAATACTTATCTTTCATTAAGTAGTCTCGTTCACCACGAAGCGCCTTACGGGGCCATTGAAATACACCTGTCAGAAAAGGGAGTTTAAGTCTCAATTTTGATGGATACCCTGGAAGACGTGTCCTAGATTCTCCTCCCTCTTCCTTTACCACCAGATCCCTCCATAGGCCTTTCAGCTTATCAGTACAGTAAGACCCCGCTTAACGCTGTTTCGTTTAGCGCTGTTTCAGTTTAGCGCTCTTTATTTTTCAACCCGGGGATTCCTCGAAATTGCTCGCAGCACTACGGGGATTCCCCGAAATGTTCGCACGCTAGGTTTCCAAATAACATATCCGAAAAACAGTGTGTTGCGTTTCTTGCTTGGTACGGTGCTTACGGACAATTTTTATCATTTGAAACATTTGTTGACCTTATTTAAGCATAAATTTATATAATACTATAATGATTAATATGACAAATATTATGATCTTTAGTTTTATCATGGGTTATAATAAAAAACAACACAGAAAGCATTCACTGGAAACTAAAACAAGTAATTAGAAGATTAGATTCTGGTGAACTTCAATCTTAATTTGCGCATTGAATGGCACTTCAACAATAAGGACAATTCTTAAGATAAAGAAAATACTGTCATCGGCACTGCAGCTACGTCAAGCTCTCAACTAGAATTAACTGTTCTAGAAATAACATTATAGAGGAAATGGGAAACGACTGTCTGTATGATTGACGACGAATTGAGCGTAATATGCCATTAAGCCAAACTATCATAATGTCTTCTTGACAAAAATCAAAAATTGGAACCAGAAAGACTGAATTGACTGACTTAGAATTTTTTGTTTTTATAAGTATATTCGTTTATATTGTTTATTTTGTAAGAAATGACTATTTGGTTTATTTTATATTAATTTAATAATTAAAATTTTCTACCTATCTTCCCCTAACCCCATTATTTACATGTTAAGATAGCCTCGTTTAGCGCTGTTTCGCATTACGCTCTACTTTGATGGAACGTATCCCCCGCGTTAAGCGGGGTCTTATTTATTTTAAGTTCTCCCATTGTGCACATACCTTACAAATAACCAAGCCTTCTTTGGAATTCGAGCCCGGTAACCCACTATATCGATATCCAATATCGGTAACCATTATACTTATATCCAGAATTGGTAACCACTGTACCGATCAGAGCGGCTGTACCGGATACCAGTTTCACTTGAAAGGAGTGAATGGAAGTATACTTTAATTTCTTTTACGAACATATTTAGCATATTTAAATACAGTATTGGCTCGACAAATAAGACGACCTTAAATTTTTTAGAAACGGAGCTTAAAAAAAAAAGGTTGAATACCATAGCCGTGGAAAATCTAATATGTTTCTCCTCTTTAACATAAAAGTGAAAAGTAAGTGTTAAATTTATCACTGTGCGCATCTAAGATGGATATGACAGAGTGCCTATAATTAAACCTACCTACTCAGAATTTCCTACAGCCGTAACCTCTCATCAGAAAAATGTGAATCATTTTGTTTGACGTAATGTATATAGGAAAGGCACTTAACAAAATAAATAATTAAAAACAGTGGATGGCTCATTAGCGTTAAACACTAATACTTCCTAAAAAAGGTTAAAGCAGCTGGTGCGGAATCGGCATTTAAATAAAAGAATTTAACTAACAAAGCGCGATCTTATAAACTTAAGGTCATTGCGAGTGGCGTACACATTGAAAACAAGTTCTCTGAGAATGTCTGCAGGCTTTACAACAGCTATTGCGTGATGTCGAAAAATGTTTTATGTGAACTGTGTGCGTTTCACAATATACGCATTCTAGCAACGATATTTGTAACTAATTTGTCTTTTGCTTGTCCTTTGTTATGTCAAAGTTTCACACCATTCTGGTGAATGGTTACAGCTGGAGGCAACTCTGAACAGGTAAATTTTAATTATGAATACCTTGTATTTAGGAAGGACATAAACGGAAAATGTCGTTTTATTTTTTTTGCTCCAAA